GTTCAAAATGCATCCTTCACAGCAGTTCTTTGGTTTCATGAACTGAGAGCGGATGACCCCCGGGTGGATGGCAATCATTTCTGAGACAATCGCACGGCGTTCCATCTCCCGGGCAACCATCAAGTGTGCCAAACAATTGGCATATAATTGGCATATGCAGCGATGCCTTTTCCCTTGAAGTTGGGATCCGCGGCATCAATAGGCATATCTCCAGCCACAATCCGCTGCGGTTTCAACAGGCCATGACCCGAAACGGTGGCGTTTCGTGATCTCCACGCCATCTTCGCCGGACATCCACCACTGGATGCTCTCTGAGGATCTGCTCTGCACATGCTCGGGTGCTCTGAATATCTCTGAATGCTTAAGACATCACCTAGCCGTCAACAGCTTTTCCCCAGCAACATGCACAAACATCCAACTGAATGACTGACAACTACCACATTAAATACGCGTTAAACAATGAAAAGGTGCTCGTACAGGACCCTGACATGATTATTTTTCTTTCGTTATCTTTCTTTTTTCCTTTCTTTCTTTCTTTCTTTCTTTTTTCCTTTCTTTCTTTCTTTCTTTCTTTTTTCCTTTCTTTCTTTCTTTCTTTCTTTCTTTCTTTCTTTCTTTTCTTTCTTTCTTTCTTTCTTTCTTTCTGTCTCTCTCTCTCTCTCTCTACACCCCTCCCTCGTTTCTTACCATGTCACATTGGAAAATCGGTGGTTTCACTCTCAGGTCGAGCATGGTGGGGCGCTTGCGCCGCAATGGCTTCAGCATCTGCTGTGGCCTTTTCCGGGTTCCCGAGCGGCCAGTAGAACTTGGGCTCCCATCCAGCGCCAGAGCCGTTGCAAATCTGATACCAGCCTGGGATGGTCCTGTGATCGTCTTGCCAGTGATATCTACTGCCTTTGCTTTGAACTTCCCCTGGATCATATCCTTCGCAAACCCACCATGTGGCTGCCATGATGTCACCGGGTAAGTTGTGAAACCGATGAACCTCTCGAGCGGCTTGAGCCGAAAAGTGGTCGCAGCCATGGCAGCCATGGTGTCACCATGGCTCAAAAGATTGATTAAACCTCCTCTGTCAGTCTGCACACTCAACTGGGCTGTGTTCAAAAATGTATCATGTTCCTTTTCCGAGAATTCAAAGCTTACGTAGGAGCTGACGTTCGCTTAGGTTTTCCCGCGTTTTGCTTGCCGCAAAACAATTTCAACTACATAATTAGCTTACACTTCTCTTGTGGCAAACCAATATTGGGAGATACAAGTATATACATATAATGATCCAATTGCAAAGGAATGCAACCTTCGCTTACGACTAGCAATGCCCTAAAGAACGTGGCATTCATTCTGGCCTGCTTTCCCTATAAACAATGGGAACCAAATGAGTCACACAACCTTGTTTGAACCCCAGCTCTCATGGCACGACTTGGTCTTCCGAACGGCTTACGGCAATATGTTTCTGACCAATGCTTGCGTCAAAGCTGTCGCACTGCTTACGAAATCCAGGCAAAGTCTTTACCACTTGATTTACTTGATGGTTTTTTTTTGCCAAGCCAATACTAAACATGTGAAGGGGAATTTGGTTCACGCTGCCATAGACCGCCGATGGCAGCATCGGAGCCCAGGACTTGCCACAAAGAGTCGATGTCAAGCACGAAGCGATCTTCATTCATTTCCTTTCCTCCCTGCCAACATGCCTCGGAAGTCCAACTGCCAGGTAGTCCAAAGCCAGCTGAATTTGGGTGACACTTCGTAGCCTCAAAAACTGGACACCTGATGATGATCATCATGTACATTTGATAATATACTGATTCAAATCTATCTGATATAAAATTAGTATACATAATGTGCATCATCTATAATATAAAACTATTGCTGTTATGATTACTATGTATATATATATATATAATTTTAATTATATATATATATGTGTGTGTAATCTATACTGTACATATATATATCATATTGTATCATAGAGTAATTGATGTTCATATACTGTTATCATCTGTTATCCACATTGGTCTGTTATCATATGTTATCATTATGTACTCCACGTGACCGCAGTGGTACAGCTGTGACCAACTCCGCCAAGGTACCGCCCCGACCTCAAAGTGCAAGCGCCCACAGCGCATCTCATGCCGCGTGGCTCGGAAGGTGCCAGCCTATGCCCCAAGGTATCCCCCAAGGTGCTGGAAAATCATCAAAAAACTCAAAGATATTTAAAGTGAGTGGCGATGATTTGTGGTAATTATTGATAATCTAGACTGTCATTAATTGTCATTTAAAATATGTTAAAATCATGAATGATGTCATTTAAGTTGACATTCAAAGCACGCGAAATGATGAAACTTGATGAAATCAACATGCTTTGCGCATGTTGGCGACGCAAACCTGCGCATTTCGAATCTGCTTCGCAGGATCAGAGCCGGCCCGACGGTATTCGATTGCTTCTTGTGCCTGTCGCGACTCTATGGTTGGCGGGGGAAATCATGCCTAAACTTCGATAAATCCACGAAAATCCAACAAAACATGGTAATTCAAATTGCCAATGTTGGATACATGGTACATCAGTACATCATGGCAAAAAATGGTAATTACCATTGGTACATCATGGATCATCATGGTACGCTGCATCCCATGGGCCTGACTGAACTCCCCAATCTGTTGCCGCAGTTGTGTCTCGATTGCTCCCGCTCTGCTGCTGGTGACCTGATCTCATCTGATCTCCATGTCCCAAGATGTCCCAACTGATCCATTTGGAGGTTTCCTGAAATAGGGGTACCCCTAAATCATCCATTTTTATAGGATGTTCATGGATTTTCCATTATAAAATATGCATTTTGGGGTACCTCCATTTATGGAAACCCCCATTTGAGGCTGTCAGGTGAGGATCCCCACAGGATTGGAAGAAGACACTGCGTCATGCAGCTGCTGCCTGAGACGATTCACGCTGCTGATGACCTCTTCTTTATGCCTCAGGCGTCTCTTCGCCATGGGGAGTGCACCATGACATGATGTGACTGGAACATACTGGAGCCACCTTGATTCACATTGTCCATCATTGACCATTTTTAGATATTGCTTGAGCTTGCTACTGTCTGATCACACCGTCTTGGCGATCCAGGTTCTGCTGGTGCAATTGCGAGTACTGCTCCTAGCTGCAGCGCAGGCATTCAAAGGTCATGAAATCTCTTGCAAATGCAACAAAGATCAACAAAGTAGCTACATAGCAATCACCACAATTTTAAAGCTGAGTAACGTGGGTCTTCAAAGCCGCAGCGTCCGTAAATTTACGGGTGCAAAGGTAACAAATGTGTTGCGGCGCCACTGCTGCCATGGCAATGAGTCTCGAAGCCGCAAATTGACATGAAGAAGTGGCTGCCATAGCGTTATCTGGGCTGCTGTAGAAAACTTTCTCCCCGTGCAGGCCAGGTTAGCCTTTTCATTCCATCATGCCCAGCTCTGCGCTTACAAATAATAATTATATAATTATATATGTGTGTGTGCACATATCCATCGCGAATATGTGCATACATTTGCTAATTAGTCGGTTCATGTCATATCATGTCATGGCGATAGCCCATCACCTTGCAGCTGTGAGTATCTGTACAATAGATAAACCAGCATTCCTCTCCACCATTGCGTTCTTATGGGTTTGTGGTTGTTTGCTGTTTTTATCATGTATCTATATCTGGTTGAGCTGCGCTTCAATGAACCTCGCATTTGGAGGCCTTCTGGGTATAAATGACTGGTTGATGCGACACAGGCTTCACACCTGGACCTGTGCTGACAACTGCTGATTTGAACTAGGAAGGTAATGAACCTCCACAAGATTCTATAAGTAGTAAAAGTACTTCATACATCTCAATCCGACTGAATTTGGACAAGCCTCCTAGCATAACAAAGGTCCTGACTCCGAAAATGGCAAAAGTCCTGAAACTGAAACCTTGAACCTTTAAACGAATGATCCAAGTGCAAAAAATCCCAAGCTGTTGGCTAACTTACTAAGGGCTCTGCGACCCACACGAGGCTTTCCCAAGCCTCAGCAACCATTTCGAGCGGTACAAGCCATCCTGCTGGGTACAGGTTATGGCAGTTATGGCTGGGCAACTCCTGGGTGGCTGGCTTTGATGATCATCGAGAAACTTGCCTTGGCTGCCATGAGAACAGCTACTGGACAGCATTCGCCAGAAGCGCCACTAAGAGGCCCCTGGGCCCGCTGGGCCCGCCACCACTGGCGGTGCCGTCTGAACAAAGCGCATGAACTGACAGCCATCAATGGTGATATGTCGTGATGGGGCGACACTGATGATGTCCCATTTGTGTGAGAGATGTAAAGATATATATGTAAAGAGCGTGCAAGCCAACAAGCGAATGGTGCGCCACTCTTGACTGGCGCAATGCTCACTATCTCTAAACAGCCGCTTTTGGGGGCATCGAATCTTGTATCATTACACCCCAAAGTCCGCCTAAACGATAAGGTTTGGTAAATGGTGCATGGTCCACTCATGTCCACTCTCCAAAACCTCTCCAGCTGTGCTGAAATGGACGGCCAGTGGAGGGCGCGTTTTTTGGCACTTCATGCAGCTTCGAGGTTTCTGGTAAAACATTGACTACTTCGCAAGGATTTGTGGCACTTGCAGCTGAGCCACATTCCAACTTGAGAGGCTCTGGCTCTATGCATTTTGTCGCTATTTTAGCCCACGGCAAGTGCCGAGATGCCCAACCCCACGAAACACAATGACACAAAGCATTTGTTGTTTGATGTTCTGGTGGGAGTCTGTGGGTGCTCGAGGGTATACTATGGTATCTCCTGACATGGAAGGCTCTGTACGTACGTGCGTGCGCTCAGGCATGTTCTTACTGCATCGGAGACGTGGGGAAAACCACCAAAGTTCCATGAGGGAATGCACCATCTGTGGTCCACACCAAGCCCACAATGAGGAGACAGGTTGTTGACTGATTTAACTTGATATGTCCATTGCATTCCATTGCTATATATTGCTATCGCAAGAGGTCTCAGCGAAATCACCCAACGAAGAGCAGCAAAAACACGCGGAGCAAACGCGCACCTTGTGCCTAAAGAAGTCTTTGATAGTCTTTGCACTGACTGAGTGACCTTTTTGAAAGGACTCTGCAAAGTGAGCTACACAGGCCATATGCCTTTGGTGACACAAGCGCTGCGATCTACCGAGTTCGACTGATCAGGGCCCATCACAGCGCCAACTTGAAAACCGCTGGAGCCGAAGGTCTGACCTGCTGAACCTGACCGCGCCCAAGGGGATCACGGGCAAAATTCGCTAAAATATCATTAAAATGGTGTGCGTGTGTGCGTGTGTGCGTGTGTGTGTGTGGGTAGATAGATCAAAAATTAGCGACAATTGAATCTGAAGACGCACATCTTCAGCATGTCTTGCTTTAAGACAATTGGACTTGCTTGATTGACTTTTGCTTGCTTAGTTTGCTTGTGGTCTGACTGCAGGTGTAGAAACAGGCCTGCAAGCTGAACGTAAAGAAAGGCGTGAAAGCGAAAGATTGTGCTACTTAGGATCTACTTGGCACCTTTCACCAGTATGGTCGCACATGCGTCATTATATTCCAACTCATAGCATATCATAATTGTTCATTAATCATCATATTTTCTATATGAAATATTGAAATATATGAATATGATAAGTTTTATGATGCATTCTTTTGCCAGTGCAACTTTGCGACCTTGTTGTCAGTGCCATCAATTTCGAGCACCACGTCGCTGTGCTCACACTCACTCCGTCTCGACTCTTCCTGGCCGGGATGAGCCACACTTCCTTGGAATGCTCTAAGCCCCAGTCAGTGAAGTCCAGATCTACACATCTCGTTGAGAATCGTTGAGAAAGTGGAGGGTACATATGGTACATGAAATCCAGGAGGGTGCCATTTTCTGGACATGAAATCTCATGAAATCTCTCTCCAGCATCTCCTGCCTCCTCCTGGACAACAGTTGGTAGACCAAACTCGAGAGTTTTGCTTTCGGTTGTCCTTCGCAGATTCGATTGGATCAGATACGACTCGCATTCTTCATGTCATGTCAATTTTGTTTACTCAGTTTCCACATCAGTCAAAATGATCATTGACAACCATCAGCTGGCTGTCAAAGGAGTATATAGCGTGTAGATGCGTGTAGTAACATGCAGTAACTTAGAGGAAGCAATCAATAAAACTTCGCAGCCTTTGGTGAACTACAGGCTCTGGTTCAGCCACCAAATGCCAAGGGCCCATACACCACAACAATGAATTCAATACAATCAAAAAAATACAAAAAGAATACTAAAAGAATTATATAAACACCGAAAACCCCTTGTAGGGAATTTACATGCACAGACTCAAAACAGGTGAAATGAATTGAAATGATTCGATTGATTGATTGGAAGATATCGCATTTGAAAAAATATGTAACACATTGTAACACCATGATGGTTCCTGGGTTAAAATTCCAGGTGCCAACACATGGTGACCAACATTCAACAGCTCTTCCAGGACTCATTCCGACCTTGGACTGTGGCTGCGGTGGCTGTACATCGAAGACATTGACGATTCGTCGCATCTGACGGTTCGATTCCTACGCCTGCGCGTCGCCAGGTTGGTCAATTTGTGACGCTGTTGGTGGGTTGTCCCTCTTAGAAATCGATGGTGACAACAAAGACTATCAAAGACTCCACGGTGATCTGCAGAGATGTCAAGACTACTGATGGCTCTCTGATCTCTGCGCTCATGCCACATGTTTTAGCCACTCCCGCCTCAAGATGGAAGTAGCATGACCATCTGAGTCGAAGATGTGTGTTACATCTCCATGCCTCAACTGCATCTTTCTCGTGGCGAATGTGTTGGAGGCTGTTCACCGGTGAAACTTTTCATTGTAAGGGGCAAACCAAGGGAGTATGACCTGAAAGTTACAGATGGACCAAGCCTAAGGCCTAAGTTCGTCAAAGCTCCCCCCTTCGTTCTCCACCCTTCGACAAAGCACCCATTCGTTTTCCATGTTTTTCCTCCCTCCTTCCTTAGACCCTTCGTCAATAGCTTCGTCCAACCCTTCCTTTCTAAAAAACACCTCAAGACGCCTCAGTTTTCCCGAAAATAACTTCAAAACAAACCTCCCAACGCCTCTTGCAACATCTTGCCACCCTCCACCACAGACTAGCTTTGTCATGCTTTGTCAATAGTTTCGTCTGGCCCCGCTTCGTAAAGTTCCTTTTGGTGTCGACTAACCCCTTCCCCTTCGACTAAGTTCGTTTGGAAATTTGCCTTCGTCAAAGGCCTGCTGAGGTACTCCCCATGAGGGTATTGCCTTGGTTTGCCCCTGAGATTGGCATCCAAGAATGCCGGCAGGGCATCAAAGTTTTTAGCTTGCGACGTTGGCAAGACCACTGTCTGGGGCATGTACACCTGTAAGAAATGTCCATTAATTTCGGATTTCTTCAGATCAATTGGCTGGTGTCACGATTGGGTGGTCTGCTGAAAAGGTTGGCGGATACCGTTGGCCCTGAGCTTGTTCCTCAGAGCTCATATGAACCATTGCAATACGTCAAAACATGTGCTCGATCACGTCACCATTTGAAATATAGCAAAGCAGTTCTACAGAATATGGCGCAAAAACCATACCCACCAAAAAGAATGGTGGTGGGCTGTGATCTCCAAGTTTTCAGAGAGCCATTTATTCGGACGAAGTCTTCGCCTGGGGTCAAGTATCTGGAAACCCAAGCATCGTTTCTGAAGACGCCGATGGCCCAAGGGCAGGTCTTGCGCCAAGACACATATCTACGATGCCACGGTGCGCTTGCACAAGCTCCTTCAAGTGGTTGGTTTCCTTAGGATGGCAGGCTACAACAGTCTTCAACCATCTTCAATCCCAAACTGAGGCACGTCCTCCAAAATGGTCATCATTTAATTCAATGGATTGGTTTGAGGGAACATTTACAGGAAAACCCCATATTCAATCGGAAAATCGATGGATTCCTGTAGATTTTCCCTTAAACCAATCCATTCATCAATGTCATCTTTGGTAATTGCCACGCTGCGGAGTCTTTTTGGTTCATCTTCGGGTCGGTCAAGTCTGGCCAAAGGCTGTAGAGAGCAATCTGGATCTCCTGTGAGGCCAATGAGATCCAAAAAGTGTATATCATTTAGATTCATTTAGATACATGTCTATCATTGTTTATATCAAACTTATCAAACTATATATATAGTGTGTGTGTGTGATTTATATATTATTGATTGAATATTTGATTCTATTTGTTTATTTATTTACTGACTTATTTAATATTATTTAATTATGTGTCTCTTTCATTATCTTTATACAATCGATTATTTAGAAAATAATCGTTACATTAATCGATCATATAAAATGTAATCAAATCACATCTGATTGCAATAACTGTTGATCATGTTGAGTGCCTGATTCTTTCCTGCTCCTCTGGTCTTGGGGGCAGAAATCTGGCAAGCCGACCATACTGACCCGACTGTAGAGTGACCGGAAGCATCTGGAACCCCTGAATCACTCCTCCGTGCTCACTGGGCGTCTTACCAGGTGCTGTGCCTCTCTCAAATGGTCACATTCTTGGTCCTCCCACGACCTACACATCACAGGGTCATGTTCTTCGAAGTGTGGCGATTGCAATGTCAAGGAAATCTGGTACTTGCTATTTCCTGGCCACTTACATTGTGCGTCACATGCTTTTGCGATTACAAGAGCTCCTGTCCCTTCCTATGTTTCCATATAGTTTTTCCATTGTTTTTCCATTGTTTTTTCTGAAAAAATCCCGTTCTGATGGCCTGCTACTTCTTTGCCGCATAATGTTGTTGGCATCAGTCCCTTCCTGGCACAAGTCACAGATGTCCAGGGTGCTGGTGAAGTGGGTCAGCAAAGTTCACTGTCCTGTCCAATGACGACCAGTTTCAGGTAGTCTCTCCTTGGTGTGGGGATGCCACGTTGGATGCGAAATTTGAGAGTTGCAACTGCGAACAAAAAGAGAAGTCCAGTTTATGCCAGCTGGACTGGGCACTGTATGTATGTTGCACTTATATTTTGTCCACTTCAAAGGCTCCTCAGGCCACTTCAAAAGGCACTGCGGTTCGCAATGGTTCGCAAAGAGGATTCTAGCCATGTTGGATCTTCCTTTGGATCAGTACTGCATGGGCCCAATAATGATCCACATTATGAATATCACAGTTTTCTAGCCCAGTTGCCATTTCGGCGTCTCAATGCAAAACAAGCCTCGTATCTTCCCAGATTCCATACAACCATTTGCCCCAAGTGTCTCGGTTCAACACCTAAGCCGCGAGGGGAGACACATGGAGACACCTAGGCAGAGCCATGCAGAGCCCCTAGGCCGCAGCCATCAAGGCAGGGCACCAATTCTTCGTTGATGATTCGAGACTTCACCGCATAGCACCTGGAAGCACGGCATCGGTACCACATTGCCAGCTGACTTGACATGACATCGAGATGTTTCATGCTGCCCAGTTGCATCGCAGCCACAAGGACACGCTCCATCTGTAACAGGAAGGTTGGCCTCAAGCTGCGTTGATCTCAAAACGTGGAAGCTGGGTGAAGACTGTTTTTCTTGATCTTTCTTCACCATCAAGGATGCCAAAACAACAGGATACTGCCGATGTCGCAGTAAAACTGCACAAGTCCACTGGAGAATCATGGAAGATACTGGAAGAATGTCATAATGTGCAACTCCCAAAGCGGGGCGAAAACAGCTGCAGCCATGATGCAAATAGATCACCTGAGCAGCCTGGACAGGGTGTCTAGGGTGTCTTGTCGGAATTTCGCCCTGCCCCTCACAGATGCCTTCATGTGATATCTTGCTTGTATATGATTGTACTTGTAGCCACTGCTCGCCATTCCGCTTTTCAACATTAAATATCCTTCCCAAACTCAAAGTGCTCTAGAACTGGCATGCCATAGCTCCTATCTTCTTTGTGCTTCTGACCAAATCTACTTCTTACATCACCGACCCCCAACAGACAGCAGCGACCCCGTCAGACTGCCTCTCCATGCACGATTTCATGCCTTCGCAGGAGGACTTCCGCCGTTTCGGTCAGGATGGTCTTCAAGATCTCTCGCTCCTGTGCTCCATGCCAAACAAATCATCAACAATGCTCAACCATCAAGCATCAATCATCATGACCCCTCATCCTACACTAATATATTCCTGCAGATTCTGTTCTCAGCTGCCGCCAGCTCATCCAACTGTTACCAAATGTTACCAGTACAGTATGTAGTGTAGCGGCCTCCATGGCTTCCATGGCTTCCAATCCCAGCCTGGTTTGGCAAGGCAGGCGTGCTGGTCAAATTCCAATCTTCTGCCAGGTCTGCCATGTTGTCGGCCGAAAGGCTTCCATGCTCAACGCCTAAGGAGAGACTGGCTGAAACTAATGCATTGCTTGAAGGGAACACCTACAGGAAACCATGGTTTTTACATGGTTTTTACATGTTTTGTTACCAATTTTTAAGGGCTTAATGCATTTTTTTGACCGTAAACCAATCCAATGATCTGATCGAATACTTCATGGACGTCCCCGGAAGAAAGCCCTGAAGCTGTTGGAGAAGGCCATTGCAAACTAAGGCTCGGTGGAAATGCTGTTGCTTGGCATCCACATCAAACACTGCCTTGATGTAAGATATGACTTGGAAACAAAACGGAACAGGCTTCAGAAACTAAAACTGCATGTTGACAAGTTGACTTCCGGAGGCTGAGTTCCTCGCTGGCGGAATGAACGAGAAAGTCACCTCACAAGCACCAGTAGGCATAGGCCAATTTTCCCCGAGCTCCAAGCGACCTACTGAGTCTACTGTTGACCGCGGATCTGTGCGCCTATGGTTCTACCATGTTCTACCATCCTACCGATGGAGTCTCATCATAAAGGGGAATTGTTGGCTTCATCCAGTCAGCCCAGTCAGCCCAATCATAGCAGCTGCAACTCAGCCCAGTGACTCTGTGGTCCAAGCGATCTCGCACACACTTTGGCATCCTGGGATGACTGGATGTCCAATGCCGGGCATGCTGGCACTCGCCACTTGGCCACTTGGGACATTGATGGACATTGGACATCATTGGGCCACAAGCCAACATGCACACTAAAGTCACTAAAGGCAATGGAACTGTTTCCTCGATCTCAAACAGTTTGAAGTGCCGAAATTTCCACCGCGGCCATACCTTTGAAGAATTCGTGACAGCTCGTCTAGGCCCAGGCGCAATGTTGGGGGCGATTGCAGAGGCCAAATGACCTCCCGCAGGATCAAATAAATAGCTCCTTGGAAGGCTCCGGGGCAGACACAAAATGTGGCGCAGAACTGCCAAGAATTGCCCGTGTGACGGGGTTGATATTGATATGAAGCAAAGCAAGCTGTCCAAAAAAGACAAATTTTGTCAAGCAAACTCCGGCATGGCAATGTGCAATCCATCAGCCCGACTTTACACCGCAGCCAGTTATTATGGCAATATTATGGCAATATTCATAGACTTCTTGTCTACCCTCTGGTACACTAACATAACTATGGAAAATCACAATTTTTAATGGGAAAATCCACTATAAATGGCAATTTTCAATAGCTATGTTAAATTACCAGAGGGTACATTGCTGATGTCACACGTATGCTCATGTATTTGGCATGGCAACATCCATCCCAGGCCTTAAGAATCCAAACGGTACTCGAATCTCGTAAAGCAGTGAGGTTTGGAGAATGACAATAGCACTCTGAATATATACAGTTGGTATCAATTCGGATCAATTAGTACTGTTTTCCATTGAAAATATTGAAACATATGTTGTATCAGACACTACCAGGATGTTTCCAGAGGATGCTTCAAATGCTTCCCCTTGGCATCAAAGGCCAAAGCAACCTGCGCCGAGCATCTTCCTACTAGGAAGAAGAAGTTGAGCATGGCTGGGAGGTAGAAAGCAGGCGACCAATCCTTCGCCAGCGCGTTGTCCGTTAGCTCGAGCATGGTGCGGAAGAGCCGGCCCAGCAGGAGCCAGGTGAAGGTAGCTAAAGACTGAAACTGCAAGCGATCCACTCCCATGTAGGCACGGTTATCATAGGGCAAATCTCCTCAGCTCTGTGCCATGTTTGGCTCCGGATGGCTCCGGTAATCTGAATCAAACATAGCTTGCCGGAAAACCCACCATTGTATCCATTTGTGATATTTATGGATGATTTTCCCATGAAAATGCTCATGATTGGGGTACTTTGATTACCGGAAGGTAACATGAAACAAACAAGATCCTGTTTTGCCAAGTCTCTCAGGTGCATGTAGCGGAAATAGATCACCAAGGTAAGAAGAACCACAGTTCGAGTTTCAGGACTTAACCACATGATGTTAGCTGCAATCAAAATATATGTTTTTCTCCTTGGGTGCAACGGATCGATGAAACGTACGGTGCCAACTTCAGGAAAAAGCAGGCTCATGATGTTGAATGGTGAAGGCGAATGATGGCATCGATAACTTTTCTGCAATTTGCATCAGTTGGCAGAATCTGCTGATCATTGTAATACCGCTCGTCTGAATTTCAAACCCCGAGATACAGCATCATGAAGGACTCGTAGTACCAGAAGTCTGGCTCAAATCCTGAGACAAAGGCTGAAGCTTCAACTGCACCACTGGCCCAATGTGGTGGTTCTTAACCATAATGAGAACAATCAAAGACCTCTAGTCACTCAAGTGACGCACATGACATGGACTTGGCACAACGCACACCTCATCACTTGCCTCACATGATTCCCACATCTTGGCCGAGAATCCGTCGTAAAGGAAGCCAAAAACCGTCCACATCTCCTTGCTTTGCAGCGTGTACGATGTCCACTTCAGAATCCTCAGGTGCCACAGATTGCCACTGTATACGGTTTGGCGGCGCCCAAACAGGGCACACATAAGTCACATCACATCATGTTTCTGCATGGCAAGATATGGCAAGTGCCAAGTTACGCCCACGGAATGATGTACCTGAGCACCATTGGAACTTTCATTGAAGCTGGGACAAACACTTGAATCAAGGACGGAAAAATGCTTGAGCAGAAAGTTAAATAAAACGGCAACATATCAAAGAAACTCAAAGAATAATAATTATGCATGACTACGCCACAGGTCCAGGCTTTTGAGCCTAAGGCATTGAGCATGTTTTGAGCATCATTGAGCACTCAATCAGCATCATTGGCATCTTTGGGCATCTTTGAGCATTTTTGGGCATTGTTTTTGCACTAGTATGCACGAGTATGCACGAGTATGCACGAGTATGCACGAGTATGCACTAAGTACTTCTGTAGAAAGTGCCGCAAGATGATTTGCCATGACTTTGCTGAAGTCTCAGAAATGATCAGAAGGATCTTGTTCTCCCAAGGGGTGAACCGGGTTAGTTGGTACTGATTTAGCACCTAATGTTGTAATCCATGTTTCTGCTCATACGGAGTTCGGAGTTTGGGCTCTAAACTCCATCCAAGGGACAAAATCAAGGGAATTCCGAAGGACCAAATCAGCAAGCCAATGGAAGTCACAAGTTGCCATTTCTGGTGAACAGGACTGTTACAGTCAACACCTTAGCGAGCATCAAATCATGAATGAGACGAACACTACTGTGCCCGACGCACAGGAGGGGATACCACCCTTTTGATACTTTGATACTTCACATCCCCAAGTCCAGCATGCCTAGCTCGCACAATCCTCACACAAAGTGTACCTGTGGGAAATCGAAGAAGCCTTCAAAACTCAATTGCCAAGGGCAAATCCCAGGAATTCCCAGGACACGCTATTACGATATTGACACCGGAAAAAACACTCCAACATACTCCAGGTTCAAAGTGCCAACTTCGCTAGGCCACTCATGTCAAGAGCCCAGCGTGCCGTGTCCAGTCGATGCCCTCCTGCGCCGTGGCTGCGAGTCCAACTGGAGCTTCGCAGTGCAGTGCAACGCAACGTCTGGAGAAAAACAATGAAAAACTGAGTTAGTCTCAAGATGTCTCAAGAACAAATCAATGATAATCAATGCATGTGGTCGAAAATTGGGATTTATAATCGGGTTATGATTTGTTGAAGGATTTTTTGTGTTTGTTTTAGGTCTCTTCTGTGTTTTTGGTTTGCTATTAGTTTTCCTTCATTTTCCAGTAGTTTTCCTCCATTGTCCATTAATTTTCCTTCATTTTCCCTTTTCCATTAGTTTTCCTTCATTTTCTATTAGTTTTCCTTCATTTTCCATTAGTTTTTCTTCATGTTCCATTAGTTGTCTTTCATTTTCCAATAGTTTTCCTCTTTTTTTTTTGGTCGTCAAGGCTGCTGTCCTTCATTTTTCATTGGTTTTCGAGGTTTCTATCGTTTTTTCCTCTGTCATCGATTTTAAGTTTTATACTTGTGTTTTCATTCCATTTTTATGTTTTTTATCCATTGATCTATGGTTTTCATCGACGGTTTTCAGCATTTTCTGTATGTTCCTCGTCCATCACTCTCTGGTGTTTCTGGTGTTCCGTTTCTTTCGAACATTTTTTCCACTGTTTCCATCCGCACCTGTGCTTCTTTTGTATCTATCTACCTATCTATGCACCTACCTTTGTATTTATCTTCCTACCTATCTATCTACCTAATTTTATCTATCTATCTATCTGTCTATCTATCCATCCATCTATCTATCTCTCTATCTAGCTATCTATCTATCTATCTCTATATCTATCTCTATCTATCTCTATCTATCTCTATCTATCTCTCTATCTATCTCTCTATCTATCTCTCTATCTATCTATCTCTCTATCTATCTCTCTATCTATCTATCTATCTATCTATCTATCTATCTCTCTCTCTCTATCTCTCTATCTCTCTATCTCTCTATCTCTCTATCTCTCTATCTATCTATCTATCTATCTGCATCTATCTATCTGCATCTATCTATCTGCATCTATCTCTATCTATCTCTTTCTATCTCTATCTATCTCGGACACTTATTATATAGTAGGGTCTTCATTCCTCTCGCACAAGCCAAAGGCAAAAAGCCAAAAGGCCAACAAACCAAATGCAAAATGCGAAGTGAAGCGAATGCTAAAAGCCAGAAGCCAAAAGCCAAAAAGCCCAAGAGCCAAGAACCAAAAGCCAAAAAAGACAAAGCCAAAGCTGATTTCTTTAGGGTGTTGTAAAGCCAGGTGAAGCCAAAAGTCAACAAGCCAGAAAGCCAAAAAGGCCAAAAGCCAAGTGAAGCCAAAGCCAAAAGCCAAAAGCCAGGTGAAGCCAAGTGAAGCCAAGTGAAGCCAGGTGCAGCAAATAGCAAGGAAAAGCTGCCCCAGACTGAAAAAAAAAATCCTTAAAAAAAATACCCATCCTTTATAATCCCAGAACATACAGTAGTAATCAGTAGTACACGCCTTTGTTAAGTTCCTCAAAAGGGCCAAATGTGTGGTTTTCATCGCGGTGTCACTGGGCTCCGTCATCCATGTCTCGGCAGTTGTAGGCTGCAAGGAGCTGAGAGGTGACCATTGGCTGCAAAAAGTACAAGGCCAACACCGCCAGGGAGGAGAAGGTCAATAAGATACCTGGACCAACTGGACGTTGAACGTGGTGCAATAAGAAAAGCCGATGCTTTTCTAAGGATCCGAAAGGCACCTACAGTTCTGCTGTATATTTGTTGATGGTTCTAAAGGATGTCAACTGTCAACAGTGAAACGCGGGCAATGTCTGGAGTCTGGAAGTTGACACATCGTATCACATGGTATATGATGCCTTACCGCCTCGAAGTGGGCATGTTACAAACATGGAAACTTTGTGTCAAGGAAAACAGCCAACAGAGGCAGTAGATTCTGTAGATAGATTTATAACTAATCAATCCCCTATGGAGAATTCCTGGTTTTCATTTGGAAACTGTGAGAACTCAAAGGAGGTCCTCACATTTCCTCTCACAACATCACTTGCTTGCACTTGCTTGGGGGTTCACCACAAACTGACGACCGAAAGCTTATGTTTCACCCGAGTTTATGTAACTTTACTCCAAAAGAAAACATACATTGTATGCATCTACACGTGTATGCACACGCATACTGCATACTGTACATATATAATTATATTATATATATATACACATATATGTGTGTGTGCGTATGCATGTACATAAACATAATATCATATACATATGTGTGCTTGTGTGTTGTTTGTGTCTGCGTATTTTTTTACATCGGGCAGATCTCTGGGCCCGCCATCTGCACGCTCCGAGGGGCGAAAGGACAGGGACGTTTCGCCCCAGCGCTGGCGACGATGGCAACAGGACGACCAGATCCAGGTGCACACGGCCACCGAGACCAACATCAGAAGGAGCATGGCAGGTAAGAAAAACAAGGCACCTCAGGTGAGTTGGCTTCCCAAATAGGAGGAGTAGTAGCAGCAGTGGTAGTAGCAGCAGTAAAAGTAAAAGTTAAAGTTCAAGTGAAAGTAAATGTAAGTAGGACTCATGAATAAAAGTACTTACATAATAGCGAATACATGCAAGCTCTACTGTCAGGAAACGGAAACTCATTGGTTCCCAGATGAATGTAAGTAAAGCAATAGGACCCACCATCCCCAAAGTGACCATCAAAATATGGGCGCTTTGTCCTAGCTTTGATGTTATTACCCTCCGGATCCCTCCGGTGCTTGTTCCATTGCTATGGAAAATGGATGAACATGGCCCATTCAGAAACATGATTTACCATAGAACGGGATGTAGAGGGAATGATGAATTTACCATATTTTCTACAGTAAACATGATGATTGTTTAAGGGTTTTTTCCCCATAGCAATGTTAATTCACCGAAGGGTACTGTAGGGGGAATACCACCAACAATATATTCAATATGGGGATATGGGTTTACTCAATCAACATGTCATTCCATGATAATATAGTTGGTTAATAAAGGTTCCCAATCCATGGGTTGCGATAACTCACAATATATTAGATAATGTACCCCCTCCCCTACAATCATCAATCAACAGTGTTCAAATGTGATTTCGAACACTGCTCAAATGGATCCCATATATGGATCAAAACTGGAACTGACCCTTCAACAATGAAAACTGGATTGTCACCTCATTCATCTAAGCGTTGCACTGATGTGACATGTATCTAGTACATATGTTTGCGTGCGTGTCTGAATACTATATGTGATAATATAGATATAATGCATGTATGCTGACACATACGTGCGTAATACCCATACCATGCCCTACCTTTCCTTACACTACATTACCTTACATTGGATGCATAACATACATTTATCATTTATACATCGGACAGACCTTATATTTAATTTTATATATATATGTGTGTGTGTGTGTGTGCTCCCGCCTCCTACCTCAAACCAAGACAGAGAAGCTGTGTGAAACCTGTGTGTTTGCGTTGAGGGGTCAAGGCACCCAAAACTTTCAGGTAGTGGCTCTCGGAAACGCTGTTGCCACCTGTCATCATCAAGCACTCCTTGGTGTACCGAATGCGACCCCCCAGTTCTGCAAAAATGCTGGGCAAATACTCGTTATACTCGTTACCCTCCAGTAACATGCAAAAGGATGTGGACCATTTCCGAACGGGAAACCCATGGAATTCCACAGCTATATTAATGCTATATTTTATTGAAGGGGATCCAAAAGCTTTGAAGACAGCTACAGTGTATATTGAGCACACTTGCTTGCACAAATCATGTAATTGATTAATTCAGCCGTCATAGCGTTCCAAAAGAAACTTACCCAATATCCAGGTAGAAGTAAGATGAAGTAAGCTCATAGGCAAGCGAACGTTCCCCCAACTTGATAGCACTTTCGAGCATCTCTGTTGGGGAAAAAACAGCAAGAACGCATGATATATGAGACCATGCGCTGACACCATGTGTATTTTCAGTCTGTGCCTGGGTCACTACTTACTATGACTATCCCAACAGTGGGTTATAGTGGTGGGTTCTTAGAGGGGTGGATAGGAATCGGGAAAAAACAAAATTTTATTACATTATTTCTTGGTGGATCACTGGCAAGCATATCCCCGTGTGCGGTGCCTACGGGGGGTTGTACCCAAATTTATCCCTGTTAAATTTCTTGGGGCCAAGGTTTTTACGGAATACATTTCCATTCCCAAAAAAGTGCACAATCTCCAGGCGCACATGGTACCTTGTGAAAGGCCAATGCAATGGCCAAAATGATCAAAGGTGCATGGCAAAACGGCGCGGCCTATTTTCCACACAAGAAAGTCTTAGCTCAGGGCCCTACAAAGGCCCAACGATCCAATGGCCGCGGTCATGTGGCTGGTTTCAGTGATAGTGATGCCATTGCTGCCAGTCATGCCAGACATGTGCTTGTCTGTGGTGGAACGTGAAGGTCCAACCTGCAGGCAAAAGGTTGCATCACTTTGTCACTGGTCCTTTTTCTTTGGACCTTCATCGTCCTTGTCGACCAACTGGATGAAAGGATCTTGAAGCCATTCCAGAAGTCGCTGTCTCAAACCAGGATTCATTTTTGTCAAGCCGTCTGCCCACATTATTTCCGTTGGTATCCATCTAGTCTGTTGTGGAGTCACGCACTGCTGGATGGCACGGATATTGACAAGGCTTCTCTTCTCAGACAAACTGGGGTTCATTGAGACAATGGCATCGTACAAGGACTTCGCGTCTGTGGCCTGAAGTCTATCCAGTCTGCAGCTGACCAAATGCGCAGGTTGGTTATACAGCAGTTCTGAAATCATCAAATTCAGGTAATCAGACCTGTCGCTTCCTTCGTCTGCTGCACAAGCTTCAGCAGCGAGTGTACTGCGACAAACACGCGGAGATCTGGCTGACCTCCAGTCAAGGATGGCACCCTTGGCAATCTCGTTGGTCGCATTGGGAGTGGTGACCAAAATCAAAATTCCCATTTGACTTGAAGAATGGGCTGCATTTGCCCAACTGGCATCTGTATAGGTCATCAAGACGCTGTTCTTGTCCAAGGGAACATCTTGAATAATCATTCCCAGGTTTGCAGTATCCTTGGCATGCTGCAGAGTCTCAGCCAAGTTCTTCATGTCGTGGATGGTGGTCTGCTGACCATGATTGCACAAGGAAATGGCGGACGACACATCGGGCCGTGCTTGAGATCCAAGCCACTGCAGGCATCCGGCTATGCTTCTGAACTCTTGCTGTTCACTGGCCGTGAGCAGCTCACCTTTCTGCAGCCTTCCTCGGGGTAGTTGATATGTCTCAACTGTGTCGAGGAACCTCTGCATGGTGATTTTGAGGACAAATCTGCCTTTGGAGTTTTTTACAAAGGTGAGCTCTTTCCCCTTGAAGGTTTTGCTTTCGTTTTCAACAAAATATGAACGCTCACCCCATCGAAACTTGCCAAACAGGTCAGTTGGGTCATGGTCCTCTCGGTGGATGCCGAAAAAATCATCCACGTAACACATCACCAAACTGATCAATTGACCATCCTTGCCATAGAGGCAAAAGAGCATTCGATCAAAATCGTGGCGGACATATCCCAGGGCTGTGAGTCGGGCTACTACTTCCTCCATCCAAAGGAAGGGAGCGTTTGGAAGCCCGTAGATATTCCCTGTGACTTGGTAAAGCTCGTTCTTCCAATAAGGCGTCATGTCGATCAATGGGTCGCAAGGACGCTTCAGGAACAAAGGCAGCTTCCTTTCTCCATCAGGCTGTCTGCCCTGAAGGAAAGCCGTCTGAGCATCACCCAGCCAACTGTGCCAGAGATGTTTGGTCTGGTTGAACTCCCGATTCATTCCCGAGACGGCAATGAGATAAAGAAGGTGTTCTGTTGCTCGCCCCGGAGTAGGTGAACTCCTCGTGAGATCATACAGGTCGGGATCTTGGTGTCCTAAAGCTACTACCCTGCATTTCGCTTTAAGCTCACCTTGATTTCGGTTTTTGTCTCTATATGCAGCTCTGCTTCGCAAAATTCTTTTGCGAAGGATTGGGTCTGCCTTGACCTTGTTGATCTCCTCTTGGCTCAATGGTCGGATGGAGTTCCATTCCGCCCAGGAGTTTGCTTCCTTCTCTATTGCGGCCAAAAACTTCTGAATGTATGCAGGCGGCATCTTCCATATCTCCCTCCAAGGAAGTTCTCTATCCAATTGCTTCATCTCTTGTCTAGTGAGTCTGGAAGTTGGTGAGGATGAGGAATTGGGCGGAGGGTCAACTGAATCCTCATCAGAGTCCGCTGATGTGTCGGACTCATATGCATCTTTGGTTGTTCCATCTAAGTCTTCCTGTCTTTGTGCCGTTGCTGCATAGATCTTGAAGTACTCATTGCGAGTTGATCCATAGCCAAGGTCTGGTGAACCGTCATGCAGCGCTGGTTGATGGTAAAGTCTCCCATCCTCATTGCGTATGGTGAACATGACATCAAAAGGCCTCTTCTGTGGAAGCGTTGGCAGTGGTTCATCAGCTTGAGGTGGTGGCCTGGAACTTGCTGCTCCTGAAGTTGCTTGTGGTTGTTCAGGAATCTTCTGTGGTTCGCCTGACGAAACGGAGACGACGCCAGGGTCAGCATCTTGTTTTTGGGCTTGCACTGGATCGCCTGGCAAAATGCCAGTTGTCTCAATTTCATGAGAGCTTGAAACAACCGAAGTGGCAGGTGTGGGCTGCGACACCGGTGGTTCTAATTCATCTTGCATTTCGGATTGCTGATCCATGACCTGAGGGCCGGTTCCATCTGGTGGTGGATATGGCGTCTCTGATTCTGGATCTAGAGGTAGCTGCTGTTGTTGCAATGCGGCATCCTCAGCAGTCTGAGCCAAGGTCTCCAGGAGTTGGTCTTCACCTGGTGATTGTTCATCAGGCTGGGCACTCGCACTGGATTGCAAGGCTGGTAGTGATACTGGTTTGGGCACGGTTGCTGAAGCCCTCTGTGCTGTGATCGGCTTTGGCGATCTTGATCTTCCACGTATTTTGGCTATCGGTGGTGGTGTGGAAGGCTGTCGCATCATTGCCTTTGGTGGGGTGCCAAGCCGTTGATAGACATTTGTTTGTCGGTATGTCGGGCTGCTGATGTTGATGTTGGTGTTTTGTTGTTGCTGCTGTCGGTAGTGCATGGTGGGTTGTTGAGTTGCTTCAGGAGGCAATTGTGGTGGTTCGGGTTCAAGTGGTGATGGTGAAGGTTGTGCTGGTAATGGAGTTGGTGGTGCAGTCAAACTGGGTGGAAGCTGATCTAAGGTGGGAATCTCATCGGCCAAGGTTTCATCTGGTGCTTGTGGGCCTGTTTCATCCTCAATCATGTTGTCGAAGAAGGACTTGCTAGCATCTTTCAAGGCTGCGATGTCCTCTGTAGATGGACTCCATGACTCAAAACCCATGGCTCCACGAAGTTGTTCAGCTGAAACCAAAACTGTTGTGTTGCCCGTTCTCAGCCAGGCAAGTTTGGTTGGTGCCGAAGGATCCCAGCTCAAGAAACGAGCAATTGCCCAAGCTCCACGCTTTCTTTGGCCCTTCCTGTTCCAACGCCAAAAGGCGCATGTCTGTCCAGGCATCAAGTCTTGGTACCTGGTATTTCTTGTGCGACGTAGTATGGCACGTCGGAATTGTTGGTTGACGTTCAAATCAATGAGGTGCTTCTGTGCCTCTGAGCGAATGATCTCGCCCTTGGCCATCAGGTTGTCCTGCGGCTCCAAGGTGGTTGGGCTGCTTGTAATGGCGGCATCATCTGTCAAGATACCACCTGGGAGTCTGGGTACGCGTCCAAACACTGCTTGGAAGGCCGTTCGGCCCCTTGTGAATGTTGAAGCATTGATGGCATGAAGTGCAGGTGCCAACAGTTGCTCAAGTTGTTCAACTGTTGATGCAGCATACTGGTCAATCAACTTCTCCAGCACGCATCTCAGCACTGCATTCCGCCGTTCAACCATGCCAATCATCCAATGGCATTCAGCCGGGCAAAATTCACAAAGGATGCCCAGTGCTTCAATCTGCCGTTGACATTCACCACGGAAGGCCGTGTCTGGGCCGAGGACAATCTTGAAAGGAAGGCCAAAAGGTTTAAACCAACACGTCAAAAAGATCTGAAACGTCTCGCTGGCATTGCGGGTCTGACATACTGCCGCTTGATGGTATCCAGTTGCCTTGTCGACCAGGCCAAGCACAGGGATGGCCTCAGAAGTCATGATGCGCACAAAGAAGATGTCTCCTTGAAGTTCATCTCCAAATTGTCCAGCTACAAACTTAGGCATCGTTGCAGGTCTCAGTGGTTGAGGAGACTTCAGCCTTTCACAGGTCGAACACTTCAGGTGTTGCACTGCCGTGATTATGTTGGCAGGTGCGCCTCCATAGTAGGCGATCATTCTCATCAGTTCTTGTTGTGAAGGATGGCCCAAGTTCAAATGTAGCCTTGCCACCGTCTTCCTCACTTCCAAGGATATTCCATGTCCGCTTGGAAGGTTGGGAAAAGTGATGTCCGTTGGCAAATCAGCCAAGGGCAGCGCAGCATTCTGGTGGTCGGCAACTGGTTGAA